TCCAAGTACCGTGTTCCTCGCAGCAAATGTTTTAAATGTAACTGTTTCTTGAACTGCTGAAGGTGATGCTTTTGTAGAGTTAAAAGTTTGAACAAGGAAACGGATTATGTGCGACGATCGATTTGGATTGACAATCCCCATGAATAAAATTTACTTCACATCGCGCGGAAGCTCACGGAGAATAAACGGTAACCGTCTTTTTATTCAATTATTTACAGTTGCCAAATGATGCTTTTTGTGTGCTTATTTTCTTTTTTTATAACTATTAACACCTATCGGTTTGTGCATTGGTAGATAAAGCATTAATAAAGCAAGTTTGGCATTTAACTTATTTGTGCTTTACTTTGTTGATCGGACATGATCGGGGAGGCACTTCAGTTCAGGATATCAAATACGCTTCCCTGAAAGATTGCGGCTTTGTCACCTTCTCTGGTGAAAGTGATCATTTATTTTATTGTTGACATTCAAGAATCGAAAAATATATGAAAGAGTGGGAAGCTGAAGTCCAGCATTCCCTTTTTTTATTAAGCTTTCCCATGCTTGATGATGTGGAACTCTTCTGTTCAGATCGCTCTTCGTGAAGTGATCATCACCGAAGTTTCACTACATTTTTCTACGGTGCTTCTCGACTGGACTGATCTGAAAGAGAACTTAATGAAATAACTTTCAGTAAAATGACTTTACAGTGTTGTTGATGTTTTATCGACTGTGTTTATTCCTTTAACAGCGTTTTTGTTCCCCGTTTCACCATTGATTTATCAGTGCAATTATCGCGCGGCGAAGAAATTTTGTTGAAATTCATTGTTTTCGCCTCTTTCCACAGCTTTTTCTTTCTCAAATTGCTATTTTTTTTACATACCCTGGCTGCCCATTAACTCATCTAAAAGAAAAAGTTTGTTTGAAAGCCAGAGTTTATCTCTGGTTTTACTGCGCATATGGTTTATTTTAGGCGCTCGCGTACGCTTATTTTCAACCGAAAATTGCCAGGGAATTGGGGGGTTGTCGCACGTAAAAGTCCCAGGAGTGAATGGGTTAAAGACCTTGAGTATTTGTCAGGTCCCGGGAGTCGAACCCAATACCTCATGCTCTGCATTCAAGCGCTCTATCAACTGACCTAGTTATTAATTTGTACATCTGTATTGATTCTGGTTGATTAATTTTTCAGTCATAAACCTGTAATGCTGATCATTCACAAGTCGTGGTGTGGAGCGTGCAAAGGTAGGTCACTGCAGAACAAACATTTTTGATAAATTTTCATGAGCTACAGAATATAAAGGGTGATATTTATGCAAAACAATTGAGATGTGTCTTTCACAAGACACGTCCTAAATATATTAATAAGGTTGCATCTTATTTAGGATGCGTCTCATTCAAGACAAGACTTAGTTTTTATTGTATACATGGTCGTAATGTTTCTTTCAAAATTGTCTTATTTCTGGTTTTTCAGCAATTTCTGTCAGTATATCATTTCAATGAGATTCTGCTTGCTACTTTTCTCCTATTAACAAAATGTCCAGTGTTTATTTCCCTGGATGAGAAGTATTAGTTGCATGTACATGCAGTTAAAAACCCTTTTGCGCTTTGTTTTTCAGCTCTGAAACCAAAATTTGCTGAGTCCAAAGAAATTGGAGAACTAAGCAAGAATTTTGTGATGATCAATGTTGAGGTATATAAATTTAATTCCTATAGATAATTACATACTTTCGCCAAAAATACCTTCAAGTATTCAAAAAGTTCTGCCAGACAGAGTTGGGATATACGATGACGGAGGTATGCACTGCCTGGGTTGTAAGTGTTTTTGTTTGAATATCTTAAGGAGCATATCCGTGTCCAAAACCTTTTGTTCAATTATGGGGTATCTTCTTGGAGGACAAAAGAACCTCACAATGGCAACAGTGGTATAAACATTCCAGAACTGAGTCTCAAACGTTTGCCAAGCTAAAAGAACAAGCTTCGGACTCATTTGAACAGGACATCATACTAAAATTTTGGCTAAAACACAGTTTTAGTAAGAAAGGGACATGGCCACATTATTTGTATTTTTCTGTCAAGTACGGCATTATTTTCACTGCTAAGGGACCTTTGAAATGAAAATACAGAATAACTTGAAAGTACATTTCTGTCAATCAAATGGTGCAAACAATACCGGAAAAAAAACAATAATTAGTCGAAGCATTGAAAGAAAAGAAGTACAAATCTGAGAGATGGCCATTATTGGGAGTTTGTATTAAAAAATTGGCAAAGCTTTAAGCTCAAGATCACAAAATGAAGTTATAATAATTAGTGAAAACCTGTTTTTCTGGTTTGCAGGATGATGAGGAGCCACAGGATACCAAGTATCAAATTGATGGAGCTTACATCCCAAGGATATTTATTTTAGGTACCGGTAAACAAAAAATTGGCTGGTGTCACCCAGGGTTTTTGGGTCTGAAGAAAACAAGGGTCTGTACTTCATCTTGCAGCTCAGTTTACCAATTTTTTGATATATACTATGCTTTTGTTTTTGGATATGTTGAAAAAAGTTTTGGTAGATTAGGAGGTGCACTCGCCAGTTTAAAGGAGGTTTATTGGTACATAATTGATAGCCATCTTCCTCACCTAACCTTTCTTCTTTTTTTCTTTTTTCGGTGGGAGGAGGACACAGGCTGGCATGGAGTGCCAGACATGCGTGGCAGAAGAGAGGCGAAAAAATAACTCATAATAGTAATAATTACTTTTTTAACCTCTTTGTTATCACACATGTTTGGTGCTGCCCACCCATACCAGCCTTGCACCTGCCCTCTCTTGCCTGAAAAATGCAAAACAATAAAGCACCTGCCAAACCTGGGAAAGAACCTCTGACTCTGAGAGCAACTAGGGAGAGAACCAACAACAACCTGAACCCACCATGGTGTTGTCTCTGTAATCCAAACCTTAAGGCCACTGGGTGGGAGGCAATAACTGCAAGTATTAGTCTCACCACTGTACCACCCCAACCCTCAAGTGTAAGCTGGTGTTTCGAAAAAAAAAACTTAAAAACTGTTGTTTAATGTTGGAGTTCAAATTTCGTTTTTCAGACTCATCAGGCAGGGTCCAAAAGGACATTTATAACAAGAACGGAAATCCTTCATACAAATATTACTATGGAAACGCACCCGCAGGTGAGTAAGGCTAGGTTTTTATACGATCTGCAAGGGTCTGGAACACAATCAGCAACTGATCTGGGTCCTGTTAATGTTGCATGCAAGTGGAAACATGTGACCTCTCTATCTGAGGTGGTCTATTGCACACGGTCCTCTGAAACATCCTCTGACGCATCCCCAGTCAAGAGGTTACCGAACGGCTGCAGGGGACTATTACGGCATCTTGTGAAATTTGCTTCTACTATTGCGACACTCAATCAAGCTAATTTCTAATGGGAGCATTTGCCCGGGATGATATGACGGATATTGACGACACTATTGTCCCTTTCAAACAGGTGTCATTTATTTTCCAATCAAACTGGGGGAAAATGCTTGGTGCCGTTTTTGCCCCCATAAATTCAAGTTAGATAAACATGACACATCTTCGATCGCTAAAATGAATGGGAACATTTGTGTGCGCAGACAGCTTCCGATCCCAACACACCGTTACAGAGTATATATGGAAAGCAGGCTATAAGTGGATCAAAAAGTGTTATACACTCGTAGCTGTTGTTTTTTGCCGCTGTCTTTGCTGTGGTCCTTGTCTGTCACCTCATTATTGCAGGTATAATGGTCTAACACTTATTTTTTTTTTTATATATCAGTTGTAGATAGCATGAAAGCAGCCCTTGAGTTGATGATAGAAGGTGTTCGTATTGGAGACGAACTTTGATGTTTTCTGAATTTGTAACAAATATATAGTCTTTGTGACATAATTTTGAACATTTTCTTTACTCAAAACGTCTTTCATTCACTTCAGTAATTCCTGTTATAAATTTCAGTTTAATTATCTTGTTTTACTGTACAATCTAATTAACACCCTTAGTCCTCGCTGTTCAACACGGTAAAAACGGAGTTAATATGCGCTAAAAGTAGCTCCGGAAGAAGATCAATCTTTCTGAATTCTCTCATCTGATGGTCTCTTGTGTTTTCTAAAAGGGCTGTTTGACAGTTGGATTTAGCTGTGTTTTAACAAGATCAGCGTTTTTATCTCATTTAAAAACTTGAGTATTTACGAAGATATTGTAATTGCCAAATTAATGAAATAAAACCTATTTAAAAGATGTATAGTAGTTTTACTATTCAACAAACTCAATCACGACGCAAGCTAGAAAGCGAACCTCTTGTTGTAAGTACCCCTGGTTCTATTGAAGACCCCTGGTTGTAAGAACCCCTGCTTGTAAGAACCCCTGGTTGTAAAAACCCCTGGTTGTAAGACCCCTGGCTGTATGACCATAGGCGTACGGGAAATTTTTTGCCAGGGGGGGCGGTAAACTACTTGCCCAAAAAATTCCGTGCAGTCGACAAGAAATGAGGGCCATACGATGCAACAACATAGGCCATACTGACATATGAAGGTGGCTCGATACTGTAACAGTTTTTCAGGGTCAATACGTCCCAATTCTGAGCATAACTACGTCGCCATAGTCAAACATTTGGAGAAATTGCCACCACAATTTTATTAGATAAAGATGAAAATTTGTCATGATCAGGAATGCAATGACATCGGAGTTGTCATACCAACGAAATGACGTCATTGTATATTTTACTTGTAGCAATATTTTTCGGCACTGGGAACTGTTCTTACAAAATCGTTCACGGAAGCTTTTTCCTCAAATAGTCGCCTCAATGTTCGTGAAGTTAAAACAGAAACTGTGAGAGTGTTATTGGGGGATATTTTGGCGTTAGAAATATGGTAAAATGGAAAATTTTGATGTTTGGCCGTTATCAAACTGAGAACTAGTCAGCCACTTCTTCATTTTCAGACCCATTGCTGATGCTATCTGCCATACGCTGTTCTACGAGCGGAGATGATTCTAGAAAGATATGCGGAAGATTATTCTAATCAATACACGACTGGAAAGAGCGCATCCCAGTTAGTGCAGTGCAGTACAGTGCTCAACAAAAAAAACTATGAAATATGTAAATCAACATATGATACCCTACCCTGATAAACAGAAACTCATCACGTGCTAGGCAACCAATGTCTCGAAAGAATGTAACTGGATCATTACGCCGACTTCACGATTTTTTTCAGATTAAAATAGAAAATATTTATCTCTTCAAAATAATAAAAAAACATGGAAACGTCTTTAAAACCTGGCTTTGCCCAAATTTTCTCTTGCTGCCCAAAAAATCTGAATTGCCCAAAATTTGGGGGGGCTGTAGACACCCTCGCCCCCCCGGCCCGTACGCCTATGTGTATGACCCCTAGTTGTAAGAACCCCTGGTTGTAAGACCCCTGGTTGTCGGAACCCATAATTGTAAGAACCCCTGGTTGTAAGAGCCCCAGGCTGTAAGAACCCGTGGTTGAAAGATCCCCTGGTTGTAAGAGCCCCAGGCTGTAAGAACCCGTGGTTGAAAGATCCCCTGGTTGTAAGACCCCTCGTTGTAAGAACCCCTCGTTGTGAGACCCCTGGTTGTAAGAACCCC